TAAATTATGGATAATAACAAAGCCTAACAGAGAAATGGCTGAAACTAAGAGTAGATAATATTTTTGAGAATATAGAATATATAAAGAAGATAAAGGATCAATAACTGATTAATATCTGCATTTTGGGATGTAGGAATAAATAGAGTCAATGAAGGAGATAGAGAAGAAGTAGTTTAGAGAATAGGAGAAACAGGAAAGCAAAATATTGCAGAAATCAAAGGAAGTGAGTATTTTAAGAAAGTAATGCTTAACAGTGTTGATTACTATAAAACTATCAAGAGAATAGGGACTAATAAAAGCTTTTTTTATTTGAGAACCAGAAGAGAGTATTTTCAGTATGGCGAGGGGTAAAAGTTGGGTTACAGTAATTTAAGATTGAGCAGAGAGAAAACAGAGGCGAGTGAGTATCACATGCTCATTTAACTTACTTCAGTTCAACTACATGAACTCTTGCAATAAAACAGGAACGTGTTTTTCTTTATTACATACTCTTTATTACATACTCTAAATTAATATAGGCTATAGTGTATTGTACACATGTTATGGAATAGGGTTGTACACCCAAGACTATGTATAACACCCTTTAAACAATTTAAAGGCCTTTTGAAGATAATTTTAATTATACTGATTTTGACTGATTTTCACATAGTGGGCTGACTTTAGAACCTAACCACTACATAAAATGTAGCTCCACTGTGAATATAGTTTTGATATAGACCACATAGGTCTCGATTGCTCTGTACTGGTTATAATTTTACATGTGTGGTGGCAGAGGCTAGAGCTAATGGTTTTAACCTGGGGAGAAGAGGTTATCTCCTTGTTCTATTTCTGTTCTTCCTTACACCTACGAGCATTATGGAGGAAGAAACTGCTTAACTTCTGTCCTCCAGCTTTTTCCTTTCTAGATTTTGAAACCTGTCAACTTAGCACATGGGAAAAATGTGATAAATTATTTGACCTCCTGAAAAATGATTTTGCCTTTTAGATAATAAAGCCGCTTTAGTGTATCTTTGATTATGTTATTAAATTACAACAGAAGACTTGCCTATTCTAAAATTATTGTTGAGCAAACCATTGAATCACCTTTTGAAAAGCAACCGTGAAATAGTAAACTCCGTTATCTTAAATTTTTTTAAAAATGGTTTTCTCCTAACTATCTAAGATATATATGTTAGAAAGTTTGGAAATGAGAAGTCTAACAAAAAAATCACCACTAAGTCTTTCGTTCATAGAAAACTTTATATTTTGTTGTATATCTTTCTAGCCTTTTGAAAATACATATTTAAAATGATTTTAACATAATTGAGATTAAATTTTATATATAGCTTTATATCCTATTTTTTCTTTTAACATTATATAATTTCCCAAATTATTATCTTTTATTTTGTATAATATCTCAATTGATAATACCCTGTGTCATAGATAATCTAGTTTAGATTTTGTAGCTTTTATGTAATCCATCATGGAGCGACTTTAAGCTTAGTTTTAACTTGTAATATAAGAAAGGAAGACCAAAGTTTTCACTTTTGATAAAAGTTTTTAGAATCAAATTTTCAAATCAGTTTTTTTTTTTTTAACAAGTCTGAAAAAACATTCTTGATAGGGTGCTTAGGAGCTGGGAAAAATGTTTAAAAGGCATGTTGATAAGTGGTTGAGGCCTAATATCCCCAATAATTCCTTATTAGTTGATCTCTTTTTATTGTTGCTGCTGCTGTTGTTAAGTCATCTTGGGAAAGTAATTTAAATCCTTGGGAGCTCAGTTTTCCCATTTATAAAATGAGAGTAAGCTCAATAATTTCTAATGTTTCCTTTGGCATTCCGTATTTATGTTCTAAAATTATTTCTTCCCTGTCATATCATATTTATGTACTGATAGGTTATCACCTACCTTACTGCCCAACTCACTTGTCCTTTAATATATATATTTAAAATAGGCTTTATTTTTTAGAGACATTATAGTTTCATAGCAAACTGAGTGAAAAATACAGAAAGTTTCTATATACTTCCTTCCCCATCAAAATTCCCCACTAGACATGTCTTATAATTGATGAACCTACATTGGACACATCATTATTATCACCCAAAGTCTACAGTTTACATTGTGGTTCACTCTTGGTATAATATATTCTGTGGGTTTGGGGAAAGGTGTATAATGATATGTAGCCACCATTATAGTATCATACAGAATAGTTTTCCTGCCCTAAAAATTCTTTGTATTCCACCTATTTATCTCTCCCTTCCTATTAATCCCTGATAACCATGAGTCTTTTTATTACGTACATAATTTTGTCTTTTCAGAACATCATATTGTTGGAATCTTGCAGTTTGTAACCTTTTCAGATTGTCTTCTTTCACTTAGTGACACACACTTAAGGTTCCTTCATGGTTTTTATGGCTTGATAGCTCATTTCTTTTTAGTGCTGAATAATATTCCATTGTCTGGATGTACCAATTTATTTATCCTTCACCTTCTGAAGGACTTCTTTGTTGCTTCCAAGTTTTGGCAATCCTGAATAAAGCAAGTTTTTGTGTGGATATAAGTTTCAGTTCATTTGAATAAACCTTTAATATATTTTCATTTGATAATCTTTAAAACATTTTATTTTTTAAAGTTTTTTTAAAGATTTTATTTATTCATTTGACAGACAGAAATCACAAGTAGGCAGAGAGGCAGGCAGAGAGAGAGAGAGGAGGAAGCAGGCTCCGGGCTGAGCAGAGAGCCCGATGCGGGGCTCGGATCCCAGGACCCTGGGATCATGACCTGAGCCGAAGGCAGAGGCTTTAACCCACTGAGCCACCCAGGCACCCCTAAAATATTTTAAATAAATCAAGAAAAGTTAGAAAAACTTGAAACAAGATGGGATCAGGAGGGAGACAAACCATAAGAGACTCTTAATCTCACAAAACAAACTGAGGGCTGTTGGGGGCACGGGATGGGGGGTGGTGGTTATGGAGAGGGTAGTTGGGTTATGGACATTGGGGAGGGTATGTGCTATGGTGAGTGCTGGGAAGTGTGTAAGCCTGACGATTCACGGACCTGTACCCCTGGGGCAAATAATACATTATATGTTAATAAAAATAATTAATAAAAAAAAGAAAATATGGTGTCGGGTAACCAAGTTCAAAAAGAAAACAAATGTCACATTGGTCAGTTTTAGAAAGAAATAAAGATATTTTCCCCCCTTAAAAAAAAAAAGTTAGAAAAACTATAGTTCTTAAAGCCTAAATCAATAAATACATATAAGGGGGCCTTAACACTACAAGTGAGTTTGCAAAAAGTAGGTATATTTTGTAATTAAAGGACAAAGAGCTCCTTTCTGACATTTTGCCCTGGGTCACAGATTTGAATCTTAGTTGATGAGCTGCTAATAAACCTAAATGACTTCTTTATTGATCTTGAAAGAAAGGATGAAGAGATGATAATATTAGCTTTGTTGTGCTGATTTGAAAATGATACAATGCCCATTAGATACTAACTTTTATAAGTAACATTAAATGAATATAAAATGACAACAATTTTCAGCTGTATTCCAGCCATTAGCTGGAGGTGAAAGAGGCTTGATCACATTATTTTTATCTTCTGCACTTTTCCTTCTTTCTTCCCCTTTTTTTATAGAGTGTAAATAAAATAAACTTGAGCAATGTGTACTTTAGGAGAGCAATTTGAATAATAGGTTATGATTTTCATTACATCCAATTTTTTCTAAGTACTTAATTATTTTTAAATGGTTCATTCCCATTCAATTTTAAAAATGTATTTCATAGTAACCGTCTCATTGAAACATTTTAAGTTTAACATTGTATCTGTATGCTAGAGCTATATATTTATTTAAGCCACATTTCAAGAGAATCTATAAATATATATAAGAATTTGATGATCCTTCAGTTGAATATTGACATTTGGGAGAATTTAGTTTTTACCCCTGAAATTATCCTTTAGAAACAAATTTAGAAACAAATTATAATTAATTGATCATGATTAATGATGTGTAAAATCTGTTGGTATTTTTTCAGCATTCTCTGTAATTCACATAAATTTCTTAGAATCCTTACAGGTGCTGGTTATCCATAGAAAAGTTTGTTTCTACCACAATGTCATTCAAAAATTTTATTCACTCTTTAATGTTTTAATTTTTTAATAGAATTTATTTAAAAGAAAGTTTTAAAGTGGTTTAGAATGGGTTGTTGGATTGTTAACGAATCCCAAATTGACAAAGGTTATAAGGTTGTTGGGTCTTGCCACAAAATTCCAGGTACTGCTTTTTTCACTTTTGAATTATGTAGCTTTAAGAAGGTAATATGTAAGGTATGGATTATTATTATCTATAACAACACTATTTTTCATGTTTACCAAATTATTGAAAAAATATTTTTTCAAATATGTGACTATGAAAAGACTAAATTTTTAAAATAGCTTTTTATTACTGCTTTTGGCCAATTTAACAATTCTCTGAGTAAGAAGATTGGATATCTTTTGCTGCATTTTATAGATGATAGTCAGGTAGAGTGATTTTGTCCAAGGTCTCATCAAGGTAAGTTGTAGAACTGAGTTTAGAATGGGCCTTCTGACTCCGTTTAATGGTTTTTCTTCTGTGTAATGGTAACAGTCTTTCATAGTATTTTACCATAGTCAGTAATACCATTTTGTTTTATTGTCTGTTACTACCAAAAGAAGAGAAATCTTGATTCTTTATAAACCTTTAAATCACAGAAGGTGATTCGAAGACTTACTTTGGCAGGGTGGGGGGGTAGGAAGTGAATGATAATGTACTTAATTTTGATGATCTACTCTTAAATGGAGAAGCAGGTATTTAGCTATAAGTAAACTCTGCAATGCTAATTAACCTTTTGTCTTTTGCCAGAACAGTGAAACAGTGGTACTGGATAAATGTAAATGAGAGAAACTAACAAGAGAGATTCAGGGCTAAAACATTAGATTTCGTCGTGTGGTCCTAGTGTGCACTTTTGCATAAGTGATTTTTCTGTACTTTCTGTTACAGATGCTGAAAATTTCTTCTAAGGAGAAATATCCCTTATTTACTTTTGTAAATGGTCATTCCAGAGACTATGATTTTACATCTACTACAACCAATGAAGAAGACCTTTTCTCAGAGGATGAAAAGAAAAGATTAAAAAGATTTAGCACAGAAGAATTTGTCTTGCTCTAAAGATTAGTGTATTTGTGCTTGTTGAGAAGAACTCCTCTGCAGGGGGAACAATGAAGAGAAACAAGTTTACTTGAAACTGGCTTATTTTCACAAATATCTTAATTTTATATGTTCTTTAAAAAAAGAACATTTGGAAATATACAAGTTTTAGAGATATTTTTCTGAAAGAGAAATGATTTAATGAATCTTTATTTCTAATAAATATCAAGTGATTCTGGCTGCATTCCTATTTCCCTAAGATCTGCTAACCTTAACTCTAACTTAATTGTAAGCCTTCCAGTCTTCAGATTCTTCCACCTGAGGCCACTAGTCTCCTGAAGGGTTTGTGATAAAGGTCCCAAAATCGGAATCACCAAATAGGTTTGGAAGCTTCCACTTAGACACTAACAACCAGAAGACCAGAGAATGAACCTTCAGTGCTGCATAGCCTCCTCATATTATTGCAACCAAAGGATACTTATGGATGTATCTGGATATATTAAATAGCAGTTGTTAGCTGTGATATGCATACAATTATATAAGTAGAATTGTAAGTTAATGTAATACTTAGCAATATGATTTTATAATGGCTCCTCATTTTGCTTGCTATCAAGTCTTCTCTGAGGAGTGAATATAAAGTATTGGTGTTCCCCAGAAATTTAAAGGTTATGTTATTAATAACTTCATCTAATCAAATCAGATAAAGGCAATTTTAAGGCAGTAGTACTGTTTGTTTCCTGTCTCAAAAATGGAATTTTATGGGAATTCTGCTTACTATGGAGTTTTTTAATCTAAAGATAAGGACTAAGAAAGATATCAGTAAATGCTCCTCAATGTGATTTTTGCTATTTGTATGAATCAGTGTAGTGGTATTTAGAAGTTGAGGCTATCTATAAGGTAATTCTGCCTTAAGTGTGTTATGTGTTATTGAAAGGCAAATATGTGATATAAAAATATAAGAGTTATTATTCAGCCAGGATTATGTACTTTAATAAAGATGTGAGAACATAAAGTACCTTTGTTTGGTTTTAATAGGATTATTTTAGTTCTTTAATTTGAAAAAATCATTGTCTCATATGAAGTCTATTTATTTATAATGAAGGCAAGTAATATTGTTTCTCTGAAAGCAAAATATTAACTTACTTTATGGAGCTTTCATGTTTCAGTGCAGAAAGGTGACTTATAAAGACATAAAATTGTGTATCTTTTAAAGTCATTGATCTCTTCCATCAGAAAGCCTATTTGTTAGGTTTAGAGTTGCATACAAAACAGAAACAGAGGGGGCAGTTGCTTTAATATGCCTGATGAGAGAAATCAGATTTGGCATTTCCCTGCGAGAACAGTTTACTACAATGATAAAAATGGCCTGAAATCTAAAATTTTCCTTTATTCCAGATAAAATCTGGACAAATTAAGTCCAGTACTAATTTTCCTAGAATGTCAAAGCATTACAGGAATACGAAGCCAGTATTATGCCCGATTATATGCGCTGCAGTTGTATTGTCTAAACTATTGCAGTTTGTTTTTTATATGCACCTGCAGTATTCACAGGATTTTACAACAAACACATCAAATGAGAGTACCTATACGTTCAAATGAATCAGAACTGATTGTAAGTATTCTCTTACAAGAGCTATATAAAAGTTTAGACTTATATTCTTGCATTCTATTATTTTCTCACCATCTTTGGGGATCATTTTCTTTTTTAAAGATTTTTTTATTTATTTGACAGAGAGAGATTACAAATAGGCAGAGAGGCAGGCAGAGAGAGAGAGGAGGAAGCAGACTCCCTGTCGAGCAGAGAGCCCGATGCGGGACTCAATCCCAAAACCCTGAGATCACGACCTGAGCCGAAGGCATAGGCGAAACCCACTGAGCCACCCAGGTGCCCCCATCTTTGGGGATCATTTTAAGTAGGTTAAAATTAGACCTGGCCCATTGGGAAGGGTATGTGCTATGGTGAGTGCTGTGAAGTGTGTAAACCTGGCGATTCACAGACCTGTACCCCTGGGGATAAAAATATATTATATGTTTATAAAAAACAAAATTAAAAAAATAAATTAATTAAAAAAAAATTAGACCTGGCCAAAGTTGAGGTGAGAGGAGGCAGAAACTTCCTTTACATTGAATTATATTGGAAATACTCAGAATACTGTACAGAAAAAACAAACCAATCTTGTAATACAGTCATCCCCATGACTGAGAATAAATGTGTTGAATCGGAAATGATCAGCATAATATGTACATTAAAAAGTATTCAATAATGTGTATGAATGAATGCATGCATTCATGAAAATTGAGATAGGCTGATTGATTTATCTCCCCTGTTAATTCAACTTCAGCTGAGGACCAGCCAAAAGTTGTGCTAATCTTTTATTGGAAAGGCAGCAACAAAACTACATCATTAGATTTAGAATAGAGTTACTGTATATTCTGGTTTCAGACTTTGTTTTGAACACAGATTTCATTTCAAGTTCTGACAGCCAGTATACTTGGTCAATAAAGCTTACGGATGATCTCTTTCAGACTGGAATAAAGGAAAGTAAAAAAAAAAAAAAAAAGACGATACTAAGATGGGTGTTCTGTTAGAATTATTAAAGGAGGATCCTGCATTTAGACATCAATATTAAGATACTAGTTTTACCATTAACATTTCAGAAATGAATTTTAAAAATTCTTAATGTGACTTTTTGATGGCAAAGGTTTCTTTTCTCTCTTCCTCATAAGATTTGACACTTTGAATCCCCTTTTGTCAATGTATTAACCACCAGCAGGCAATGTTGAGAGTCATTTGCTGAATGAGTGAATGAAAAGATCCTTTACAGTACAAGTATATCCAAAAGGATTTCCCAAGGTATCCATTTTTCTGTTTTTATATTAAACTAGCCCCATTAAATCTATATTATTGAGAAGACAATAGTATTAAAAATTTAGGTCACTTTAGTGTTCTGTTAACCTTAGCATTGTCCAAGGGCAAGCATATCTAAAAATATGTATGTTAATTCTGTCTTGTTTTTAGAATTAAAGAAATAAAACAGCAAAAATGACTTATCTATATAATATATCCAGTGCTAGGTCAGAAATCTTAATTTTTTAGAGATCTCTAGTTACTTTCTATCATTGCATGCTGGAAAGCACTATATTTCTGGTCAAATCATACTAATCTAGTCCCTCCCCCCCCCCTTTTCTCTGCTAATTATTTTGGAAGTAGGAAAGTTGTATTTTCATGCTTTATCACAATCACCTTCAATAGCTTGCATTGTACACCTAAGTCTTTTTGACTATATATTTATATATAACCAAAAAAAAAAGCACAGTCTAAGAATTTTCCAGAAGCAGGAAATGAGGAAGAACAGATAATGAAAAACACTTTGAAAATATTAAATAAGTATATGAATTTCCATTGAAATAGACATAAGATAAGGAGGAAACTAGAATTTTTAGTGAAACTGAAGCAAGATATCCAGAACATATTGATAGAAGCAATTTCTTGGAAAGGATTAAGGGATTACTGTTTTCTATAAAAAGAAGAGTACATTTCTTTCAAAAAAATTTAGAATAAATATTTTGTATTATTTAGTATAGCCTCAGTACTGCCAATCACCACAATTTAGTAGTACTATATTCATTTGAGGATTTAGACTGAATATTTTTAGATAACTGAATTGAAACGGTGAAACATCCGACCAGAAAAAATTGGAAACATCTGATCCTATGCCAAAATATAAATTTTATATCATTTTATAGTTTGAATCTTAATTCAGTTTAGAAATCTTAAGCATTTCTGTGTGGTTTTCATGGTTATATAAAGACTTTCTCCTTGCCTATAAACTTTGAAAAATATTATATTTAGAGTCAGTATTGCAGACACATTTTTGAATTTTCTTCTCTTTCTTTTTTATAGTCCTCCTCAACATTATTGGTGGCAAGCAATGGCCCAAAACATTCACAACTACAGTTATACAATTTCACTTATTCTCTCACAATAAGAAAAATATATTAAAAATGAAGACTACATGTATGTTATTAGGTAGGAAAATTACTGTGCTACTCTGTAACCAGTTCCTCCAGAAATTTAGAAATTCAACCTTCCTTTATTTATTTATATATTGAAGTATAGTTGACATACAATATTATATTAGTTTCAGGTATAAAATACAGTGACTCAAAATTTATATACATTTTGAAATGATGACCATGATAAAAATGTAGTTACCATCTGTCATCATACAAAATTATTACAATATTGTTGACTATATGCCCTATGTTGTACTTTACATTTCCATGACTTGTTTTATAACTGGAAGTTTGTACCTCTTAATGCTCTTCACCTATTTTGCCACTTGCCCTGTCCCCCTGTTTCTCCAGCAACCACCTGTTTGTTCTCTGTGTTTGTGAATACATTTATTTGTTTTTTAGATTCCACATATAAATGAAATCATGTTGTCTTTCTTTAATATATATACACACATATATGTGTATCATATCTTTATCCATTTATCTGTTGATGGACACTTCCATATTCTATGTTGTAATGAACTTAGAGGTGCATATATTTTTTTGGATTAGTGCTTTTCTTTTCTCTGGATAAATACAGAGAAATGGAATTGCTAAGTGGTATGGTATTTCTATTTTTAATTTTTTGAGGAATTTTCATAGTGGCTGCACCAGTTTACAGTGTAGGAGGGTTCCCTTTTCTCCATGTTTTCTCCCACACTTGGTATTTCTTATGTTTTTGATACTAGCCACTCTGGCAGTTGTGAGGTAATCTCTTTGTATCTTTTTTTGGCATTGCCCTCATGATTAGTGATGTTGGGCACATTTTCGTATGCCTGTTGGCCACCTGTATGTCTTGGGAAAATGTCTATTCAGGTCCTTTGCCCATTTTTTAATTGGATTGTTATTTTTGGTGTTGAGTTGTATGAATTCTGTATATATTTTAGATATTAACCTGTTATATATTATTTGCAAATATTTTCTTCTATTCAATACGTTCCCTATTTATTTTGTTAATAGTTTCCTTCACTGTACAAAAGCTTTTTAATTTGATGTAGTCCCAATTATTTATTTTTACATTTGTTCTCACTGACTGAGGTGACAAAGCCAAAATAAGTATTTCTAGGGCCAGTGTTCAGAGTTTACTGCCTATGACTTCAGTTCTTACATTTAGGTCTTTAATCCACTTTGTTTTTGCACATGTTATAAGAAACTGGTCCACTTCCACTCTTCTGCATGTAGCTGTTTGGTTTTCCCAACACCATTTGTTGAAGAGACCATCTTTTCCCCGTTGTATATACTTGCCTCTTTATCATAGATTAATAGACCATATAAGTGTGGATTTATTTCTGGCTCTCTATTCTGTTCCATTATTCTACATGTCTGGTTTTGTTCTAGTACCATACAGTTTTGATTACTATAGCTTTGTAGTATAGTTTGAAATCTGAGAATGTGATACTTCCTGCTTTGTTTTTTCTCAATTGCTTTGGCTACTGGGGGTATGTATGGAGGTATTCTGTGGTTCCACACAGATTTTAGGATTTTTTTTCTAGTTCTGTGGAAATTACTACTGATAAGGATTGCATTGAATCTGTAGATTGTGGGTAGTATGGACAATGTTATTCTCCCAGTCCATGAGTATGGTATATACTTCCATTTATTTGTGTGATCTTCTGTTTCTTTCATCAATGTCTTAACAGTTTTCAGAGTGCAGGTATTTCACCTCCATGGTTAGATTTATTCCTAGGTATTTTATTCTTTTTGATGCAATTGTAAATAGGATTCTTAATTTTTCTTTATGATAGTTTGTTGTTAGCATATAGAAGCACAATTTTCTGCATATTAGTTTTGTACCCTGCAACTTTGCTGAATTCATTTATTAGTTTCAGTAGTTTTTATGGTGAAGTCTTAAGGTTTTTCTATATGCAGCATCATGTCATCTGCAAATAGTGACAGTTTTTCTTTTTCCTTTTATTTTTCCTGTCTATCTGCTGTGTCTGAGACTCCCAGTACTATGTTGAATGAAAGTGGCAAGAGTGGGCAGTCTTGTCTCTTGTCTAGTTCCTGATCTCAGAGGAAAAGCTTTCAGCTTTTCACCATTAAGTATGATGTTAGCTGTGGTATTGTCACATCTAACCTTTATTTATGTTGAGGTATGTGGTATGTTCCCTCTATACCCACTTTGTTGAGAGTTGTTATCACAAATGAATGTTGGATTTTGTCAAATACTTTTCCTGCATCTATTGAGAATATCATATGATTTTTATCCTTCATTTTGTTAATGTGTGGTGCATCATATTGATTTGCAGATACTAAACCATCCCTGCATTCCTGGATTAATCTCATTAATCATGGTGTATGATCCTTTTAAAGTATTGTTGAGGGACTCCTGGGTGGCTCAGTCAGTTAAGCGTCTGTCTTTGGCTCAGGTCATGATCCCAGGGTCCTGGGATCAAGTCCCACATTGGGCTCCTTGCTTAGCACAGAGCCTGCTTCTCCCTATGCCTGCCTCTCCTCCTGCTTGTGAGCTCTTTCTCTCTCCCTCTATTTTTCTCTCTCTGAAAAATAAATGAAAATCTTAAAAAAAAAAAAAAGTATTGTCGAATTGGGTTTGCTAATATTTTGTTGAGGATTTTTGCTTCTGTATTCATGAGGGATGTTGGCTTGTAGTGTGTGTGTGTGTGTGTGTGTGTGTGTCTTTGGCTTTAGTA